ATTGCGAAAATGTCAAAACCGATACCAAAAGCCGTTCACATGATTAAGCGTTGCAGTCGCAGTCTTCTCTCTGGCAGTAATGTATTTTGTATGAAATACAGAGCAGAAATTAAATCACTAATGAAAATGTTAATCCGGCTTCGGTTGGTTCGCGCTTCTCCAAATGAACTAAACTAACCAACCGTCACAGTCCTTCATGTCGCAAACTGTGACGAAGCAGGGAAGAGCCAATGAACGTTTGATATCGCTGCCGTAAAAGATGACGTATCGCTTTTCAAGGGCGCAATATTTGAATTTGAATTCATCACCAGCGCGGGTTTGACCAACACATTCTCATCCCAAAAAGTCATATAACTGACGTTTTGGGACGTCTTTTGACCATACATCAATATTCGCCTTTTTAGGGCCCCCTTATACGTCAACCCGGTCTCATCCCAAGACGTCATATAACTGACGTTTTGGGATGTCTTTTGACCATACGTCAATATTCGCCTTATTAGGGCCCCCTTAAACGTCGGTAGATGAGGTTATGGGATCCTAACTCTACCCCATACCTAAACCTAACGCTAAACCTAACCCGTAACCTAACTGACGTTAAAGGTAAAGCGTCAGTTGTATGACGGCCCGGGATCGCTATCTACCGACGTTTAAGGGGGCCCTAAAAAGGCGGATATTGACGTATGGTCAAAATACGCCCCAAGACGTCAGTTATATGACTTTTTGGGATGAGACTGTGTTATATACGTCGCTACAACTGACGCTTTACCTTTAACGTCAGTTAGGTGACGGGTTAGGTTTAGGTCTGGGGTAGAGTTAGGATCCCATAACCTCATCTACCGACGTTTAAGGGGGCCCTAAAAAGGCGAATATTGACGTATGGTCAAAAGACGTCCCAAAACGTCAGTTATATGACTTTTTGGGGTGAGACTGCGCTGGTTTGACATGTAGGGTCGCTGCTGAGAATGGAGAGATCACGACTGGATAAGAGGCTGAATTAGGAGTTGTTTCTTGCAAACATGGATTCAAAAGATTTGGATTACATCAAACTAATAAAATTGATGTCTTTTTGATGTGAATTTTTGTTGTGTTTTATAGGAGAAAACGCTTTATGTGTCTCAAGGTAAATAAACTATTACAAAATGGTTGAACGAGTAACGTTAAAGAATGTATTTTTAAGGTTTTATAGTGTATTGTTTAACACCATGCAGGCGAAACGAGCAAAATGTTAATATTTATGAGTATCAATAATGCGACTGAAAACTTCATTAATAAGACAATGGAATGCAATAGAGTCAAAACATAATGCTACGATATTAATATGCATAAATTGTGATACGTACAATGTGTACGTCGGTGGATTTTAGTACCGTTTTAGTACTGTAAATAATACGTCAGTATTATACGTTTCTACGCATATAAAACGTAATTATATATACGTATGATAGAATGACACTTTACGTACACGTATACGTATTCTAATGAGATCACGTTGACCTTTAGGATCCTGAAAGAAAAAATAATCATGCTTTCCACAAGAAATATTCTGTTATCCAGAATATTCTGTTTTCTTTTGTGACAAAATTCTGGAGCGGAAGTTGAGTAGATAGGGGGAGACTTCAGTCTAATAAGAAGCAGCTGAATTACTTGCTGAACTTTTAATTCATAAACAGTCTATAAAGGCCTATTTTTTTGGATGTGTGTGTGATCTAATTAAAAACTTTGCTGTCCTTAATCACGGTACTTTTGCCACCATTTTATAGATGCAATAAGCCACTCAAGGCCATAACTTTGAGTTAGTTTGTTCAAAGGGGTTTAACTATGAAAAAGCGCTGTAAAGTCTCAACCTCGAGTGACTTTTTCTTTATCACACCACAGATTAAACAATGAGTCACAGTGTAAGTCATTCAATGCACTTTATTCACAATGAAATAGTGTGTGAGATGTAGGAGTTTAATATATTCTCACAGAATCCCATCTGACATTCTCTGTTCCTGTCAGGATTCTGATGAGATGAGCCGGAGCCACTCGGAGGGAGCTTATGCTAACACCATCCTCCCAAATCACCATCACCACCACCGTACCCACCACCGAGTGTTCGAAGACTTTGCCTGCTAGGCCGACAGGTCTAGTGCTGTTGACGTCTGCAGAAAGAGTGCTCTCAGTGCTGAAGGTGGGCTCAGTGAAGGACCCTTAGAACTCAGCACTAATCTCTCTCGCTGTCACCAGTTAAAGCTACAGCCAAAGTCGAACTCTAAACCCTCGCTTCGAACCCAACACAGGCATGGATCGGACATTACGGTCCAGCAGGAGACTCTCTGAAATCCTGTCCTTTTCCCCCATCATCTCGCAGGAAATGACATCAGTGGAAACTCTACGATTTCTACACTGAAAACCTTGGTATTGGGCCTCTACTATATCAAGGCATAGACTGCATGACATCTAGAGCCACTTTATACTACATATCCTGTTTGAAGCATTACATTCTTACTTTATATTTTGTCAGCTGTTAGTTTTATTTGGTGAATTCTTATCCTGTGAAATATTATCATTCAGATTAATCTACAAATGTAAATTATGTATTTGATCATGGCTATCAACCCTTAGGACCCAGAGGGTAGAGAAATATCTTAATTCGGGTTTTTCACAGAAATCATGGAGGATGGTGTAGAATAGTTTGTGTTTCAGAAAAGTAATTTGTATCCATCTCTATTGGATATGTTTGGTAAATGTTTCCTTTATCTCAAATGGTTTAACTTAAAGTATATTGAATAATCCACATATTTTGTAATGTTATTTATAGAGATGTAATGTGTGAGTGGTAATGGGTGTCATTAGCAGTAATAACATAATCTTCTTGTGAGGTTACTTCCATTGGAGAACCAAACGATGCGAACAGTAAGCCCGCCAGACTACCAGAACCAGAGGAAGCCTCTACGGGTAACCATATGGAAAAGGTTGGTTTCATCCATCCATCAGCTGATGGATTCACTCCCCCAGACCTCCCAAAAGTATTTAATAAAACAGACCTTATGTTCCTAGTTTCACTTTTGAATGAGAAGGAGTGCAACAGTCCCATAGAGAATGATAAACCGGGTTTGCTCAGCATACTTGCAAACTATGAGTAATCTGATGCACCGCAGCAGTGTATGGCTAGATGTTTAAAAGTCGGTCGATGAGTTTTTCTCAGGGTTCTTAGCTGTGAAATGTCTCGCGGTCTCTTTGACTAAAGGCCAGATGTGCAAAGCATTTCAATCAGAAACCACCGACTTTTCTGTGTGTGAAATTCAGCAAGCACAATTCATAGACTAAAAACGTTTCTATATTTGTGGTTACAGATATGGCTCTAATAACTGTAGCACCTCTGATATATATATTTTTTCTCTTATAATCTGACATTTCAGGAACGTTTCTTCTCTGATTATTATTGGGTTAATTATTTCTAACTTAATGTGTGTAAGACTTGTGCTATTAAAATAAGCAGAATTATATGTAATTTTCTCCTGCACATTTGTTAAGTATTTTTATTTTATTTTCCCACATTCAGAAATAGGGCACCACATATGTCGTATATGTGACAGAGCTGTATATCCTCCATGGATCAATTTCTCTGTTGGGTAGATCCCATCAGCGAGAGAGAGATTCTGTATCATTATTTTCATGTTTTGCAGAATGCATTTTATAGTTGGATGTCATATCCAAAACATGCAGCACATATCCATCTATATAATAGTAATCATGGGTAATATGGGCTTTTAATATCAGAGTAGCATTTTTAAAGGTTCCCAGTAAGAGTCTTGATGGCACACTGTGTCAGTTATGCATAATAATACAGTTTACAGTCATAAATAACTCTGCTGTCAGCAGTGAGACCAGACGAGTTGGCATACCAGTGCATGTCCAAGATTTGATTTAGCATTATCTGTCAACCTCATGCGCTTGTCCAGTTGTAAATTTCTGCATTTGTAGCCTATCTTACCTGTGCAGAAGGAATTGCCCAAATGTTGAAATGCAATTGCCTGTAAACAAGGTCTTTTTTTTTTTTTTTTAAAGGGACTATCTTTTATGATCATTGCTATTAGGGTGGAAACTGTTTTCTGTGGAGTAATTTTAGAAGGTGTTGTTGTGCAATCCGGCAGGCAGATCCGCATCAGAAAGAAGATGCTTGCACGCCAATTAGACATTTCTCCAAAGTGAGGTCAATGTTGAGGTCAATGTTGTTACACAGTTGTTAAGCAATTAACACAGTTATCTTTTCCTAAATGTATTGTACTGATTCATGATTTCATACAAATTACATCATTTTCTTGTAACACTACAGGTGAAAGAGATGATAGGCGTGAAATTGGACATGATGTAGGAAGAGGAAAGGGAAAAGCAATATTGGAGGCACAGCAGGAACAACCAGAGCAACTTGTGGTTTGGGACAATGTCCAATTCCACCACGTAGCGCTGGTGCGTGCATGGATTGAAAATCACCCATTTTGCTATAGGCCTAGTGTTTCTTCCAGGAAATTTTCCTTTTCTAAATTCAGTTGTGGAGTATTATTAGGGTGTCTGCATGGGGATGAAAATTGTTGTATTTAACTAGCTACTTTTCTTGGATCCAGAACTTGAAAAAACATTATATGATATAGAGATCCTATGCATTCCCTGTGTTAAATTTATTTGAATAACTATCCAGGGTCACACTTTATTTTAGGTGTTTAAACTAATATGTACTTTGATACAATGTACGTGTGTTCATGTAGTGTTGCAACACACTTTTGCTGTTATTGAGGTGGGATACGGGTAAAGTTGGGGAGGGGTGTTATTGGTAATGGTAGTTTAAAAGTGGGTTAAAGGAGAACTCTGGCACAAAATCAACCTTTGGTCTAATAATACATTGGTAGGCTACCTTTTATATACCCATAATGATTTGCTGAAGTTAAAATTAGGTGAAAAGGAGATAAAATATATAAAAAATATTAAAGCGATAGAGCAGTAAGCAGGAGCGTCCGAACAGTAGCTGAGCAGGAAGTGAATTTATAAAATATCTTCTTATTAAATGGTCTGTACAAAGTTATCAATGCTTCGTTTTGCATTTAGGGACCCTCATTATGTTACTGTGTTAGTGTGGGGCTATTTTGAGCCTTGTTAGTGGTATAAACTAGCGATTTCTTTTTACTTAGTCAATGCCCCCATTAGCATTATACGCTAAACAGTTTTTAGAGATAAAACTCTTTACATTCGATTATCATGAAAACAAATCTCAGAGAACGGTTGACTAAGTATCAATGTTTTATTAGACCAAAGGTTCATTTTGTGCCGGAGTTCTCTTTTAAGGTGTAAAGGATGAGTCAGTGTAATATAGATGTAGCTAATTACCCAAAAAATACGTTTTTAAAATAAGTACAACGTTAAAACATGTATGTACACAATAAGTGCATTGCATCAATGATTTATTTAAATGTTAATACATAGCCTAGTAGTTAAAGACACAATATAAAGTGGGACCAATTCAGTAAATTCAACTTCTCGTGAAGTGTATCCAATTCAGTTCAAATTCACACTCGTGAATTCAAAGGAAGTAATCTGATTCTTCGGTATTGAATTTAGCATAAACCTGCTGTATTATTACTACATGAGTTGTTAAATATAGAAAGCTTAGTTTGGAGAAATGTCAAACCTGTGCAGAAAACTGTAATATTCCTTTATCTCAGGGGTGTCCAATTCTGCTCCTAGCTGGAGGGCCACTGTCCTGCCAAGTTTGCCTCCAATTCCAATTGAACACACCTGAACAGGCTAATCAAGGAAAAACTTCCAGACATGTGTGTTGAGGCAAGTTGGAGCTAAAATCTGCAGGATAGTGGCCCTCCAGTACCGAGTTTGGACACCCTGCTTTATCTGATATTAATTCATCTTCACATGTCAGTTCCATCCTAGACTGATTAGGGCAGCATTGAGCTCTGTGTGTATTTTTGAAACTCTGCTACGCTGCTTTAACTTTGACAAGCTGTTCCTTTTCCACCCGCTTTTGCCAGCCAGAGCACTATTTAGCTTCGAGAGGGGGCCATAAAACGAGGCACTGAAGCAGCATATAGCGCAAACAGACTGTTGAGATTTCCACACGATTAAAGGCATCAAGACTAATCAGGCTAATTACCCGTTACACTCAAGAACCTAATGGACTGTATACCAGACTACAGAGAACACATAATACAGTTTGTAGAAAGGTCTGACCATGGTTTCTGTTAGAACACATTTTATAAATGTAACGATGGTACGTACTGCAGTCCGATAATAAAATCTTGATGAATGAATGGCTTTGCTTTTGTTCACTGAGATATAGTTAATCACGTCTCACCATGCGCTAATTGATGGCTTATGATTCCACCAGGATGCTGGACATATGACTGAATGTTCTGGGTTCATGACAAGTTAAACCCTATTGACAGTATGATAGCAAGCAGCAGAAAACAAAACAAAATCGTGTTAAAATCATGCATAACCAGAAGGCTAGAAGGATGCTTTAAACAACTTTACATCTAAAAAAAAACACATTACTGATATTTACAACCTGATCTTGTGAGAACTATTTCGGTGAACTAAGGTGGCGATTTTGCATGATTTTTTTTTAAGAGAAAACGTCTCGGTTACGGATGTAACCCTCGTTCCCTGAGTAGGGAACGGAGACGTTACCTCAGAAGTGACGGAGATGGGGGTTTCGCATAGAAAGCCAATCCTCTTCGAGTATTTAAAAACGAGCCAATGGCGTGCAATGCCTTGGGGCTGCGGAAATTTGCATAGCGTACTCCGCCTTACTCCGTGAGTATAAAAGGAGGAAGTGAACGCAACCGCAGTATGTCTTCGCTGAGGAGCCAAGACTGAACTCGGCGTCTACCCAGCGATACAGCAGAAGTGGCAGGGAGACGTAACGTCTTCGTTCCCTTTCGTAGTCACTTCGAGTTACGTCAGAAGTGACGGAGATGGGGGTCTGTGCCATCACGCCATCTTCAAGCTGTCTACCAGTGCCCTGCGAAAGTCTGGACCCCTCCTCTCCTTTTTTTTTTTTAGGGATCCCACTTTGACACAGGATTACCAAGGTACACTGGGAAACATATCCCGGGAGGGACATGCTACCAGCTGCCTACCAAGGGGAGGACTTACAAATACACATATGGCCACATAGGAACGCATATGGAAACACTGGAGCACCAATCGAGGTGGCTACTAAGATTTAACTCCAGGGGTGGCAGATGGCTTGCCAAGGGAAGACACATGCTCAGAGAGGCTTACAGTGGAAATACACATGAGACGGTTACCATGGGGAACCGTGCACATGGAGGCACCTAGCCAGCATCCAGAGCAACAGCAGTGGTGCCCGCATCGTCGGTGCTGGAGGACTCAAGACTTCAATGGAAGAACTGAGGAGATATCGCACTTATCCAGTCCGGGGAGTGGAATGGCAAGCAAGCGAAGACACCTAAGCGGGTCCAGTACCGGTGGAAACGAGTACGTGAGAGGACACCGGCCCAATTCGCAGATTATAGAATCTGGCGAAGGTGTTGGGTGTCGCCCAGCCTGCAGCTCTGCAGATGTCTGTTAGCGAAGCGCCGTGCGCTAAAGCCCAAGAGAGGGCCACACTCCGAGTGGAATGGGCCGTCACACCAAGGGGGCACGGACGGCCTTGCTGCTGGTAAGACAAAGCAATGGCGTCCACTATCCAGTGGGACAGCCGTTGCTTTGAGAGAGCCCTTCCCTTCTGGCTCCCCCCATGACAGACAAAGAGCTGGTCTGAGGTCCTGAAACACTGCGTTCTGTCGACATAGGTGCGGAGAGCACGTACCGGACAGAGCAGTGCCAAGGCTGGGTCTGCCTCCTCCAGAGGCAGCGCTTGCAGGTTCACCACCTGGTCCCGGAAGGTAGTGGTGGGAACCTTGGGCACATATCCAGGCCGGGGTTTTAGGATCATGTGAGAGTAAGCCGGCCCGAACTCCAGGCACGCTTCGTCAATGGAGAAAGCGTGCAGGTCCCCCACCCTCTTGATGGAGGCCAATGCAACCAGGAGTGCTGTCTTCATGGACAGAAACTTTAACTCCACTGATTGCAAAGGCTCAAAGGGAGGCCTCTGCAGAGCATTTAAAACTACCGAGAGGTCCCAAGAGGGTACGAGGGGAGGACGAGGCGGATGCAGCCTCCTCGCTCCCCTCAGGACCTGATGACCAGGTCGTGCTTCCCTAAGGACTTACCTTCCACTGCTTCGTGAGAAGCGGCAATGGCCGCGACGTAAACCTTAAGGGTGGAGGGCGACAGCCTGCGCTCCAACCCTTCTTGCAAGAAGGAAAGCACGACCTCGATCGAACATCTCCGGGGGTCTTCTCCGCGAGAAGAACACCAATTGACGAAGAGGTTCCACTTCAACGCATAGAGGTGTCTCCTGGACGGCGCTCTTGCGGAAGTGATGGTTGCCGCCACCGCAGGTGGCAGCGAACTCAAACCTGCCTCGTCCCGTCCAGGAGCCACACGTGCAGCCTCCAAAGATCAGGACGAGGGTGCCACAGAGTGCCCCGTCTCTGAGAGAGTAGGTCCTGTCTCAGAGGAATAGGCCAAGGAGGTGCTGTCGCGAGGAGCATGAGTTCGGAGAACCACGTCTTGGTGGGCCAATAGGGGGCTACCAGCAAGACCTGCTCCTCGTCCTCCTTAATCTTGCACAACACCCGTGCAAGGAGGCTCACTGGGGGAAACGCATACTTGCGTGGGCCCCGTGGCCAGCTGTGCGCCAGCGCATCTGAGCCGAGCGTACCCTCGGTCAGGGAATAAAACTGGGCGCAGTGGGCTGAGTCCCGAGAGGCGAACAGATCTATCTGTGCCTCCCCGAACTGGTCCCAAATCAGCTGGACCGACTGGGGATGGAGTCGCCATTCGCCGGAGATAGGACGGACCCGTGACAGTTCGTCGGCTGCCAGGTTCCGGTCTCCAGGAATGTATACTGCACGAAGGGACCTCAGGTGCTTCTGACTCCATAACAAGAGGTGGCGGGCGAGCTGCGACAACCGGCGAGAGCGTAGACCCCCCTGGTGGTTGATGTACGCTACTGCCGTAGTGTTGTCTGAGCGGACAAGCACATGCTGGCCCGTGAGCAACGCTCGGAAGCGGTGCAGGGCGAGCCGTACTGCCAGCAGCTCGAGGCAATTGATGTGCATGAGGCGCTGGGTTCCTGTCCAGGAACGGGAGGGAGGGGAGCCGCGGGGGGGCGTCCTCGGCGGCGAGCAGCGGGAGGC